ACAGAGGTAAGTCACAGATCCAATCCTATGCAGTTTGTACCGCAAAGAACAGAATATGCTCTGGGCTTCCCTGTAAAACACTCCAATAAGGAAGCCTAAGGTTCCTTGCAGAAACAGCTTATCGCTATATTCTTTCACCTTCTGCCCTCTCTACTTAGCTGTTACCTATATTAGCCTATTTACCTGTGCTCTTCTTTAAATGAATTAAATCTTGAAACGGTGCCAATCAGAATCCTCTGCCAAGAATGCATAATATTCTATTGTGTTAGGGAGAATTTCAGCTTCTTGGCAGCTGACTCTTGCCAAGGCATGGATATGAGCATTTCTTTATCTGCTCTGCAGATAACTACATGAGCTTGATACATGATTCTTATAGGCAGCTACTTCATTTGATCTTCTCTCCAACCTCCTTCCTTAAAAGACATTCTCTTGAGAGTCCAGTGACCACCAAAAACCACATCTCAGGCTGCAGTTATATTCATCTGTAAACTGGCTGGACTAAATAATTTTTAAATTGCCTTAGGCTCTAATAGTCTGTGAGACTGAAGAAGCAACTTGGAGAAGGACAAGAAAATTGGAGAGGAGATGTGAATCATCAGGAGAGAACCAAGACCTGTGGCTGTACACATGGAGGGTCACCCACATTAGTGCTTGGTTAAAGAGAATGGTAATTGAAAACATGCACACATGGGTGTAATTCTGTAAGCACAGATGCCTGGTAAGACAGGCGAATTCCTAAAGGAAGCCTGTGGTTCTGAGTCACTGTGCTTTCATCTAAATGGCTCAGATCTGTTTTTAACATTGTCTTCAGATTTTGGACCCCACAGAAAGCTCCACTAGTGAATTCCCCCAAAGCTTCAGGGAAAATGAGGTACCTGAATTGGCCAGAGAATGATATTCATGTCCCCATGGACACCCTGAAGAGAGTACATGGAGCCGCTGCCACCAGTGGTGATAGAAAGCACGGTCTTCTTATTCTGTGAAAGAAAAGAGAAAAAACAATATCCCCTTGGTGACAAGAAGGTAACGAAACAACCCTGGGGAAAAGAATACATGAGTCCATCCTATTTGCTGTTTATATTACTTCATACCTGGGCTCCTCTGAGCCACGCAGTATGATTCTGCAGAATTACCAGCCTAGATGGTGCACAGACAGGTAGCCTCGTGCACCTGAGGATTCTGTACTTCTGCAGGTGGCCAGTCAGGGCAAGGCTGTCAGCATATCCAAAATCAGTGTTGGCTGCCAGCTGCCCAGGTGGAGTAATTTGTTGTTTTAATCTGTCTCCCCATGGGTTTAGGCATAGAATAGGATAAGACCTTTAGAGAATCTCAAAGTGTTTCTTGTGCAGTATTTGGGTTTCCCAAAAATAAAGGCAGACTTTATTATTTATTTATTGACCGATTTTTTCAGTTTTTGGCCGGGGCTGGGTTTGAACCCACCACCTCCAGTATAATGGGGCAGTGCCCTACTCCTTTGAGCCAGAGGTGCCACCCCCTAAAGGCAGACTTTATTTTTATATGGAAAGTTTCAGACATACATAAAAAAGAGAAAATACTATAACCATGCACCTGTCACCCAGCTTCACCTCTCAGTATTTTGCCATTCTAGTATTATCTAATGCCACGCTCTGACCTCTTTTTTTTTTTTTTTCAGTAATATTTTAAAACAATCTCAAACATCATGTAAAACTTTGTCATACATCTCTCCCAAAGGCTCTGGACCCTGAGCTTAGTATCTAATTGTGCTCAAAACTCTGCCCCAGGAAAGACTGTACCCAGAAGCCAACTGTTAGGACTCAAAGCCATTCACCTACCCGGAAAGGTCCCTTGTCATACATGGCAGCATACGTGTATGCAAACTCTCCTATCAGCACTCGCTCAAACCAGCCTTTCAGAATGGCAGGGACTCCAAACCACTGCAGTGGGAACTGTGCAACAGAAGACATCAAAGTCAGATCAGGTTCACCTCCAGCCCAGAAGGCAGCTCCAGGTGCTCAGCTGCTGCCTACTGTGGGGGAACCTTGATCCAGTCCTTTGTCATTTCTTCTGGAGGGTACTGGCCACATACACATTTAAGAAAAGAGAAGATTATTACCCTTGGTCAGCCAAGTTGACACTCCTGTTTCTGCCTAAAAATACACATATTGGGTGGGTC